CAAGTGAGAAGTTGTGATGGGGTGTGAGTTTGATAAAAGGTTAAAGAGTTGATAGATGTGCCAGGATGGAAAAAAGAGTGACAGTATAATCGTTTTCGGCAGAACGTTGGTCGAGGGATTGACTTAACTTGTCTTTTTGACCAGTTCCTAGCTTCGTGTGGAGAATGGCAGCACTCACTGACGATGCCGAATGCGATGCCTGCGAAACGTCTGAGAATGTACCAAGCCCTCGGTCTGATGCTGGGAATTATGGCAGATGACTTCGGACAAGGTGCGTTCTACTAAGTCTCCCAAACAGCATGACCAAGTTGCGAAAACGAGATCAACCCACTTCTTCAAGACTTAAGCGCTCATAGATGCCTCGTTGTCTGCGTCAACCTAAACGTCTACGGTAATTGCTTGTCGTCTGCCGATGAGATCAATCCACAAATATCTTCAATATGCAACAACAACAACAACAACAACAACAATGCTATGTTGGCGGATTTATCGAAACCAAGCTACTCTTATTTTCTACAATATACCACCCAATCCTTCTTCAAAATGGATATAATCCAATGAGTTTTCTTAATTTTTTGACTTGAATATCGTCGTAAGAATGATATCCTGCATTGAAGCTATGCTCGTCATACGACAAATGAAAACTTGGCACGTTTTCATCTGACTCGAAGATCAGGGCCTCAGATACAGCGTCAGCAAGCAAGTCAATCTACAACTTTATCAAAATTTATCCACCGTCGTTCTTTGGTGGGACCCACATTCAAAGCACTTTATTACACGCACATTCACTTGAAAGAAAAGTGAGCTCAAAGATATTTCCCAGCTCTGAGGCAATGCATGAGCCAAGTCCCCCAGAGCATACAGCTATTCTTTTCGATGGATTTCAGGTTCACTTCACCAAACTCCGTTGTGTAGTTGCCTCTACTCTAAAATTGGTTTTGAATAGGATTGTGAGACTATCGGTAGCTCTTGAAATAGAGTTGTAGTCACCCTAGGTCGTTTAAAAGTCATGATGGACTGATGTTGAATTTTCCCACAATCACGTGAATACGCCTCATGATGACATTAAATTTCGTTTTGATACCAGTCGCTTTTGGTACTATCACTAAAGGGTTATTTTCGTTTGCATCTAGGTTTGAGACTAACAGATAAGATTCACTCAACCTATTTCGTTTAAGATGACAACGGACTGAGTGTGGTAGGATCTCCTGGGAAGTAGGGCCATGTAAAATTCGATAGGAACGTAAGGTCTGCTCATATGGTTGTGGGGAAATCGAACTACCTAAAAATGTTTGTCTGTCCTGTGATCCCTGAATCTTCGCAAATAAGCCGACGTCTTCCGGTGAGATTGATCTACAAATCTCTTCATCATATGCTTCCATACTAAAGGAAAGTTTTCCCATCAATCTTATTTCGGGGGATTTTTCAATAGCTGCATTTTCTTCCTACTTATAGCAACAGGAATCTGCTTTCGTCTTTCGGTTTAATCTATCAACAAATCTCTTCAGTAGCCACTTTCATACAAAACGAAAATCTTCACAACATCGCGGTCTTCTCACCACTTTCAGACGGACTTGAGTCGAGATCTCGTGTCCGGAGGGAAGTGGAGGAGTGGATCGTTTGCCTATTGGCTGTAAGTTTTTGGTTCGTTTACCGCCGGGAACACTTACAAAACCTGCAGTTTGGTTCGCGTAGGAAGCCGCCAGTCCTTGAAGCAGTCTGCTGTATCGGCACATCAAGATGGTCCACAATGTTGTCTTCCAGGCCAACAATATGCTGATCTCTGACGAGAATTGTCCAGCTTCTCGAGTGTTTCGGCTACATTTCAACCCAGATTTATAAGAAATCTTACAAAGTATGGGCAGTAAAGAAACTATGGAATGAGCTCCATCTAGCTGGTACATTGCCACATTTACTGCCAATGTTGGCGAAACAGGTTTTGCTTTTTCAGAACTAAGAATCTTTCCTTACTTGAGCAGGCAGGCCTGCATATTGTTAAAGTTGCTGTTGGTACTTTTCACCGGAATGGATGTCAACTCAACCTTAACCTCGTCAAAATTGCACAGCTTTCTCCGTGGACGAAAAACAGACCTTCGAGGTCAGGACTTGATTAAAATCGGGCAAGAGTCAGTTGGATCAGAGCAGGCGTGGCAAGCAATTGGTCAGATTTCAGGGTCCTCTTCGTCATGAGACCAGCTATTGCATTGACCTTCATTTCCATCCATCAATGTTGAGCTGACCACATTTTTGTGTGTGGTTGAACTCAATTCCTCTTTGACCCCGTCCATTTCGGGCCAGTACAGCTCAATGCTGGGGCTCAGGCGTGTCAGCGATCTTCTTTCTACGAGCGGCAGAACGAAAAAGAAAGTTGGCAGATGCTTGACTCTCCACAGGAGACCTTATTGCTATTCTATTCTGTGCTGACATGGCGGTGTTGTCACAGGGGTACAGTTATCTGGTCGCATTAACCGGCTGTGGGAAATTTGTAAGAGCCAATGACTTTAGACAGAATAAGAAGCACTCGAAAGGGTGATTCTAGTAGATAAAAGACACACTATCCAATGAAATTTCATACTCCCTTGCCCAGTGAAAAGACAGTGCCGACCTCGCCTTCGTCTCTGGAGCGTCTTCAACAAACGATGATTCCGCATATCGTGATGGAACTGAAGTCTATGCGTATATTATTTTTGTGCATATCTAGCGATAGTTTAGGATATTACTTTTTTTCAATTAGTAGCAAATCAATTGGTTCCGAAAGCATCAGTAGATTTTGGACAGGTTGGACTGGAGTCAGTCAGCACTGCCAGCGGGATTCGAACCTGGGTGCTTGGTCCAACAGCCAAAATATGATATGCATACAAGAAACCTGCTTATATAACGAAAAAAAGTCATAATCTTAATTTTAGCCTCGCGGCCAAGCTAGTAACAAGTGACAGTCTCGAATAACATCTATTGTGAGCATATCAATAAGGCAGACTTTATTTTCTATTACAATCAACTATGAGTCCATCTCATCTTAAGGAGCTCTTAGCATCCAGGTTCTGATATCCTCGAGACCTACTCATTCGAAGAGAGTGAAGAATGTGAATCGCAAGAGGCTTCTTGGTATGCCTTGAAATTCACATTTGCCCCATGGTTATCTGACTGCCTTTCCAGGTGTTGACAAATTCCTGTTTTGTCCAAACGGCCTGCTTCGAGTCCCGTCGAGGGTGCTGATTAGGCAAATGCGAAGTTCGACCAAACCGAGTCAAACCAAAAGGAAATCCAGTCATGTTTTGAAAGGATTGAAGCTACTCACCTTCTGGGCATGCGGACGCAGGCAATGCAAGTTGTTCAAGAAATCTCATCATCATCATCAGCAGCAGCAGCATCATCATCATCTTCATCTTCATATTTCCTCGAGGAATTTTAGTTTTAACTTGAAATTTGTGAAAAATTCGAATGGTTCGACAACTTTTCCGTGGTGGCCCGTAGTAAAAGAACATATCCAGTCCTGCATTCTAGGACATACTAGCCACGATAACGACTTGGTACATTTATACTGTCATTCATTTCGTTTGAGAAGGTGAGTGCAAGGGATTCGCATATTGGCCTCACCGAGTACCGAATGAATTGTGCAAAAAAGATTCGGCTCACCATCCTACGACCTCGATGACG